AATACGCACAATTGAGCACAGGCCATTGACTTGAATGAGCCGCCATCTTGAATCCCTGGGGCCTGTTGCCATTAGAAGCTACCAACGGTAAACTAGCCCAGAGCTAGCATTTTGGCTAAATTCGGGCCTAAAGGTACATGCGACAGAGATAGAGTGGACGAGTTTGATGCACAAATGGGTGGATTTATATGAAAGAAAGTTTATGATCACGCGGAAGTCACAAAGATCCACAAAATCCATTCACATTGAGGACTTTGGGAACGAATCTTAAGCCGGGGAGATTTTTAGCTGCAGTACCACAGGTGGTCTCTGAGCACGTGCTGGAGACAGGTCATTAGTTGGGGTGAATCTACAATTTTTTCCAACTTTTCCTCTCAAATTATGTAATCTAATTCTTCATTTATGTTTACAACACCTTTTATCCACCCATTACAATTATTCATTTTAAAATTGTTAAGTCAAAAGCACTTACACATGCATTTTTCTTCATTAAAACTCACATAAATTTGCATTTTTTATATCCAAACTCCAGAAGATCCACAGACCATTCCCGGCTGGTATTTTAATACTGAACTAAACAGTTGCTTGTGAATCTAACTTTTTATTTTAACTTGCTTGCAATTGGACTCAAGAAGACAATGGCTGAAACAGAACTTCAACTGTATTAACACATTAAGTACAAAAAATCCCAGAATTTGTACTAAATGACAGAATATTAAGAGAATAATAATACATTGGAGCGATTCACAGGGAAAAAAAATGGTTCCGGAGCAACATTGTTCAAAAATGTCTATTATTCAGTCAGTTCTACAGATTGTCAGGTCCATATTTTTACAGGTTTGAGTTAAAAATATAAAACAATTACAGTCAGTAACAGATTTTCAAATTCTGTGTTAATCTTAAAAACTGTGAGACAAAAATGCGTTCAGGCTCACAGTGCAGTTTGGTCTCTGATAACACGATATACTTTCTAAACGGAAATACAAAGGGACGAGGAAAGAAATCAAATATGTTCAAAGAAATCCAGCACAAAAGGAAATGGCCTAATACGAAAAGAAATATTTGGAATGCAGCCTTAAACTATACAGAAAGTATAATTAAAAGTTATTCCAATTGGGTTTTACTGCAAATGGCAAACAATCTGTCTGCAATTCTAATTTTCAAAAAAAGGTCATTAAAGCTGGGGTACCTGATTCAAATTGATTACATATAGTCTCCATTTCTCAAAACAGTTGGGCACACTAGTTCTACATGAAGGATTTTTTTCAGACTCATTCACTGCCCTAGATTCATTCAAAATTGAAGGAGAAAGACCCACCCTCCCTCAGCCAATCGGCTCTCAGCTCAAAAGTAAGATGGACTCAGAGATTTGACTTTGTAAAACTTGGATCTAGATAGTGTTGGGATTTGTTCAAAGCTTTACAAGGCCTTTCCAGTAAAATACATTTCCTTAAACACAATATGTAATTTAATTTAGATAAAAACTGTCCGGTACCCTGCTTTAAAGATTTTCGTGAACCCTCTCGTCTAAACAAAGATGTTATTTGTCTTGTAGAAAGTTCTAAAGTGTAGCATAACTCCTTCTTGTTTATGTGCTAACAATAAAATGCATGTTTTTGGATCTGAATGTGACGTACCCACTTTCTCATTTGTTACATTGCACACTTTAGAATCCTCCATTTTTGTCTTCACCCATTTCACTGCAAATCTACCACTGTCTGATTATACATACACAAAAAAACTCATCTGGGACATTTGCATTTCCAGTCAATAAAATAAAAACAAATAGAAATGTTAATCTTATTTATATTTCAGTTGGAAGTAAAAGGCATTTATAATATTACATTTAAAATAACTTCAGTGCACCTGAGACATATTTGGAGTGATAAAAACTACGCCAAAAAAGGTCAAAAAGGTCTAAATAAATAAACGAAATAAAATGTGTGGCATCTTGAGAAATCATTACCTGTTTTAGAATGTGAAATCCTTCATTTCTAAAATACATTGATACATGTATGAATCATAGACAGTATATTAGGAGTGGATTAGTGCTGACATCATCCCCAGTGTTTACTGATTTGAACATGAGCTAGCACGAGCTAATTTCCTTATATGAGCATTTGTTTCGATAGCATTAGCTTTGCGCTGTAACGGAGGCCGACAAGGTGGTTGCTAAGGCAAGCTGGAGTTCATCATCATCATTTTCAACCCCTTTATTAGTCCATTTCTGGGTCGGGGGGGTGGCAATGAGAGCTGCCACCCAATGCTCATAGCACCAGTCCCTCACTGATCTTCTGCAGGGGGTGAGTCCACAGGAAGATGGCTGCTCCATCAGTTGTGATACAGCCTTGATCTTTCAGCGGGGGCTTTAGGCAACGTGGGGTTAAGTGTCTTGCCCAAGGACACAACGACAGCAGTCATCAGTGGGTGCAGTTGGAGTAGGTCCCATGGTGGGATTCGAACTCACGACCTCCAGGCCCAAAGGCCAATGCTCTACCAACTGAGCTACTGTCGCCCCAAGCTGGAGTTTACCCCAGATATTAAGGCATGTGATTGGTCAATCCTTATGGCTCTGGATTTACAAAGTCAAGATCAAAATAAATACCCCAAGAGAGCACCATACGACAGATTTTTGAAGCCCACAATAATGAGTGTGACATGAGAGGTTACTGCGATCAAGGAGCTTACTTTTCAATGTAAGTCAAGAGGAGACAGGGCGAGTAGGAGCAAAACTTTGTCCATGAGCACTTCCCTCGTGATCTTCATTGAGTTAGCGGGTTAGCCTTGTCACCCCCCATTTCGTGTTTCTATCTTCTGCTATTTTAACATGGCAAGGTTTGAAGGCAGAGTCCTGGAGAAAATCCCAACACTTTTTTGGGGCAATACTTTTGTTGTATAGCATCATAATCAAAGGCTTCTGCGTAGCTTAACGAAATTGAAAACATTTGGACAGAAGGGATGGGGGTACGTGTTTGTGCTGATTTGCGCCAAAATATAGTAAAGTGATCCCATAGCTAAGTCTACAGTAAGAATGCAGGTAATTTTATGTATTTTTTTAGCATTAAAGGCCGTATATAGAACCAAGACAAAAGGTAATATATAAAAACGGTAAAACAACGCGATCAATAATTGGAGTGAAAATGTGGTTGTAAACATTTCTCTGCTGCTATAGCTTCTAACAGCGGCTCTAGAGACAGTTTGGAAGAAAAATACAAGCTTTGGATACAAAAGTACATTCGGGAAGTCCTGAGGTCAGATATATATAAAAAAAAAAAAACAAAACAAAGGTTTCCATAGAAGCCGCGGCCGTCACTATAAATATTCAGTTTTTTCTCTTTGTTCGGGAATCGCACAAATGAAAAGAGCAGACTTCCTGAACGCCACGGCCGCCGCGAGCTTTCGTCTCCATCCTACTCTGTGATGGGCCGCTGCCAAGACTTCTGCTGTAACTAGGCACTTTTTTGGAATCTGAAGGCGTATGAAGTGATCATTTTGGCGTTTTAAGGGAGATGGGAGCCCTGGCAGCTCGCAGGAAGAGAAAAGAAAACTCAGGAACAATGAAATACTGTATATCTCACATTTTTGCCCGAGGTGGAGGTTTTGAAATTAGACAGGTAGAAATTGGCAGGTAATTTGGCACTGCAGAGCTGGCTGAGTCATGAACTGTGAGTAGTGTAAGTCTGGATATAAGTGACTATTATTATTGAGTACTATTTTGTGTTTTGGAAGTTGTGATACTTGCTACACTGCAAAAACTGATAAAATACGAGGAAATGAATGGTTCAATCAAGTGGTTTTTCTCTTAATCTGAGCACATTCTGACTGTCTTTAAACAATTTTTGCCAATGGGACAAAGCCATTTAGTTTTTTGCTAGCCAATCTTGGTATACAGGAGGATTTTCTACTTCCAGGTGGATTGTCAAGACTACTGGTCCTCCGAACTTTACCAATCATTCTGGTGATACGTGGTCGTCAAATAAGACCAGAGAGTTATTTTCAAAGAGTGGAGAGGGCGGTTCTTTCCTAAAATGTGGGAAAATCCTCCTATACACTTTTAAGTCAGTCAAAATGTGCTCAAATGAAGTAACTTTTAACTTATTTTTCCTCACTTTTTGCAGTGTCGTGGCGGATTATTGTGCGTTTAGCGGCGATGTTTTCGAATGTTAAAAGGAATGCGAAGAGTGGGTGAGGCGTGTATGTGCTGGAATGGAACGATACTAAAATAAAACATATATAAGAGGCTAGAAAAGCAAATTTACAAAACGAGATGTTAACGACTTGGAATAATGTGAAGAAGATAATGGATTTCAGTAGTTCAATTCACAGAGATATTCTTTGTAAACACTTTTTTTTTGTCAAACGAATCACAATTTACAAGTAATCAAAATAAATCAATAAAATATTCAATTTTAAAAGAACTAGCTATCTACCTATAATAACAGCTTTTATAAAATTTTCTTCGGAATGGACTTCTGAGGTGATTCATTTGATAAGACAAAATGTGTGAAGAAACTAGCTTAATCTACTTTTTTTGTGTAGCACATTTTCCATGTAGCATTAGATTGATGTCACACATTTTGTCTCATTAGAAGCATCACTCACGTCTTTTACAAAACAACAAAACTCACATGTCTCGGTCAAAAGATAAAATTGAACTACTGAACACACTTTTCCACAGGATTCAAATCTAGAGACAGAGTCCGCACTGCAAAAAAAGATGATCAAAAATGGTGTTAACCTTGATCCGTTTTTCCCCTTCTTTCCGTCCGTCTTTCATAAAGCTCTTTCTATTTTGAATGAATGTACTTGCTCTTGTCGTTCTCTATCTCTTATCTCAAGCTCCACTCTTTGCTTTCCATCAAATTTCTAACAAAACTGGCGCCTACAAAGGGTAACATGTGTTTTTTTGTTTTACTTTTTTTGCAGTGCAGATAATAAAATGTTAAATAACCTATAAATAGTGGGACAGAGAGGGTCTTTGGTCACGTGTGGACGCCGCCTCACAGATCCGTGGTGATGACCGGCGTGACTCCGTGGATGAGCAGCGTCGGTCCCAGGTCTTTGGTCAGCAGCTCCAGTTGGTGCAGGTACGAGGCGTAACGGCGCGTGTCTGCCGGCGGGCGCGGCAGATAAAGGAAGCGCACGGCGGCCGGAGGTTTGGCCTGCTCCTGGATCAGCCTGTTCACGGCCTCCAGATACTCGTCGGAGAGCCGCGACGTGTTGCTGGGGAAACTGTTAGCGTACTCTTCCTCCTCCTCCTCCTCTTCTTCTTGCTTGGTGCTTTCCGAGGATTCTGACGGTTTGAAATCTCCTTGCCTTTGCCAGTGCAGCGCGGCCTCCTGGTCCCACGACACCGGATAGACGTGCGCTTTGATCCGTAGCTCCTTCAGCAGGTGGCCCAGCTTTTGCTCCACCCCCTGCAGGCTCCGCCCCTCCTCCACGCACAGGAAGAGGCGGATGGTAGCTTTGCGCCAGGCCCTTACCATGTTGAGGATGCAAGCTAGCTGCAGCAGGAAGAGCGAGCATGTGTCCACATAGTTGCTGCTGTCGGGACGCAGCAGGTTCACCGGCCACACGTCGATAAACACCGCGCTTTTGAAGTGCGAGAACTGAGGCGACAACGCTTCGCCGCGGTCGAAGTCGTTAAAATAGCGAGCCAGGACCACGTTCTTGGACATCTTCATGGCGTCGGCGATGATGGCCACGTACTCCAGGGGGGTCAGGACTTTGCCGTCGTCGCCGCCCTCTTTGTCGGCCGGCCCGCGCAGAGACGCAAAGTGGAACGGCGGGGAGTGGCGTTCCAAGTCCTGGGACGGGTTGGAGAGGTCTATGGACTGACTGGAGAGGAGCGAAGGGTCGGTCAGAGTGTCCCGGGGAGAGCAGTCGTCATAGAAACCGAGAACTAAAGTGTTTGGACGCATCCCACCTGAAACAAGAGGTGAAAAATACTCAAATTAGTCTAAGTATGTTCTGTGATTATTTATGATTTGAAAGCCTTGTGATTGTTTCTATGTTGTTTTGTTCAGCATCTGTATGAATTGTGCTATATAAATAAACTTGCCATGTCTCAGTGTAATGCAAGCCTATTTAACTTGCGACCCTTGGGTGGGATCAGGCTCATCTCTCCAAATAATGAATACAGTAGTGCTTGACAGTTTACACACCCCTGCAGAAATAGATATTTGGGGCATATTTCAGAGATGATCAATAATAACGCAAACAACTTTTTACACTCATTGTTAATGGTTATGAGGAGTCAAAAAATATTTAAAAAATCGAATAACAACAGAAACTTGGGAATCCCCAGTTCTCAATAGCATGTGGTTCTCCTAAAACATCAATGAAAGTTTGGAGACTTTTGTGGTAGTGGGGGAGGAGGTTCTCAATCCTCAGTGATGGTAAGGCTGCACATGTTTCTTGCCAAATTCAATTTCATGTTAATTCCTGGGATGTCTTGCATCAACTGCACATGAGATTGGATTTAATTATATTTTAATGCCCTGACGAAGACCGCTTTTGGTCGAAACGCGTAGGCAGTTTTATTTTTTCACTTCAACAGAGTGCCTCAGACTTCTTTTTGACATCCTAAATCTGCCTAGATTGCCCTGTCTTTGAAGAGCACCTGTTTGTTAAGCCTTCTACCACTCGTACCCTCTGCAGCACTCAACTTCCTTGCTTTAAATTAATTATAATATACTTTTAAAATAGCAAACACGATCATTTTACAATTAATTGCTTCACACCTCCACCAACAATGACTGAAAAATACATGTTTGTGCACAACCGTATACACAGGTGTTGTTCTATGTCGATCCTAAATTGACCCAGATTATGTCTATCACTACTTTCATTTTGGGTCTGCTCATGGGTAATTTAATTCAGTTCAGTTTTGTATAAGCCTAAACCCCAACAGCAGTCATCTTTACCTTTGGCTTTATTTTTTCACAATCATATTGCAAATGCTGTCAAGAATATATCACTTGAAAGTCAATAATGCTAAAAGTGGTCAAAAGCGACTCCAATGTAAGTAAAAAGAAATAATTTAAAAGCTTATTCGTGCTGCTTTATTCTCATTCATTAAAGTCAGACGTCTCTCTTCTGTCACGAATTCTCTGGATATGACTCTGACGGCTTGTGCTTAAAGAGAGAGGAGAGTGTAGCTCTGTCACTGACCCAGTCCAGAGATGAAGAGCAGGTGCTGGACGCCGTGTCGCACCGAGTCGGCCAGAGTCAGGTTCACGAAGGCTTTGATGTTCAGATGGTCCACGAGAGACAGCCACGAGTCGTACTGGGACTGCAGCGGGTCTGAGGGCAGCGAGCCTGTGGGGGAAGGGCAGAGGAGGTTCAGGACCAGGGTTGGAACTCAACTCTGCCTTATATTGCATAGTATTTACATTTTCAAAAACAATTGTATACAGTGTCCTTTAAAACAGACAGACAATTGTTATATGTCTGCAAGTGATTGAAGATTGCCTTTGAACCAGAGGTGGGATAACAGTTGTTCTGGAGATATGCAAAATGATAATAAAAGCAAAATGTCTATAGATTGATTTCACAGGGTTTTGCAAAGGCAAAAAGCCTCTGTCAGCACAAGAGAGAAACTGGAACAAATTCCCATTTAGGGCCCTTTGCAAAATATATGAAGGGAGATTTCCTCAAACCACTTAAAGCAAATTCTCACTTGGAATGATAGAAAAAAGAAAGAAAAAACAAGGCTTTTAAGGGCCACCCAAAAACAAACGTCAAACAAAAATTACTTTAAAAGAATAGAGATAATTATTGAAATTGATTGTTATATTGATGCACTTTGGAGGTTGGTTTTGATTAAAGATATTACTATAGTTACTGTTGGAAAAAGAGTGATAACCACAATTAATAATAAATTGACAAAACAAAGCAAAAAACGAATTATTTTAAATGGTTACCACTAGGGCTGTCCAAAATAGCGCGTTATTAACGCGTTAACGCAAATCAATATTAACGCCGTCATTTTTTTTATCGCGCGATAAAAAAAAAAAAAAAAAAAAAAAAAAAAAAGATTTTTTTTTTTTTTTTTACTTTTTATTGCAGACAAACAAATATACAGAAAAAAAAATAGAAACAAAGAAAAGGACTAGTTCAGATACATTGTAGACAGAGATTACAAACAATATGTAGTTGGAGATACAGGGGGCCAAAGAAGAAACCCAGAAGGGCACATAGGAGGGGAGGGGGGGGGGGGGACACACATGAAGTGGGAGATGGGGGGAGGGGTTAATAAAAAAGGCAATACAAGCAAACAGTATACAGTCATAGATATACCGAAGGTAAACAGAGAAACATCATAGAGTATTTACATGAACAAATTTACAAAATATTTACAGATTGTTTATCATCATCATAATGACACCATGATGTTTCTATACAGTCTATGGTCTATACCCACACATACACACACACACCCACACACACACATTGAAGGGGCTTTTTGTTACCAATTATTTATTTTGTCATCCATTTATTGATGATTTTGCATCAAATGTTAGTGTGTAATATAACACTACACATTGTTTTCAATAAAAAAAGCAATTGCACACAGCACGCAAATGTGTGACTAATTTGCGATTAATCGCGAGTTAACTATGAAATTCATGCGATTAATCGCGATTAAATATTTTAATCGTTGGACAGCACTAGTTACCACACATTCAAATAACTAGTCATCTGAGGCTTTTTGAAAAACAAACCACACTTTTATTAATCCTCTGAAACTTAACATGAGGCCTGTTTAATACTGTAAAGATTGATATGAAGGTTTTAAAGATTATCGTCTAAAATGTTCACTTTTCAGTCTAATTCCTAGCAAATAAGGAAGGAAGCTCCAGGGACACATTTCTCTGAGGCAGGTTAATGGTGTGTCTTGGTTAAACACAGGTTCATGTTGCAAAGGTTCATAATTTTCTCTATATTTTCGAAAACATTTTATTATTCTTTTTAAAGGGAGTGGTCCTGTTGTGTTGAGATTGGAGACTTTCTTGTGTAACTCTGGGACACAGTGTTGGTGTGAGTGAGGGGAGCTCGAGCCAGATCCAAACCCATGTGACTGCTAAGATGGAGAAACAGCCACTGAGGCGGAAGCACAGAGGCAGGTGATCAATCAAAGAAAACACATTCCTATGCAAACTCAGGCTCTGGTCCACTCAGTTAGGGCGGGTCCCGGCTCAAAAGTGGCCAAAATGACGTGCGCTGACATGCTTGCAATACCACCTCGGGCCGATGGGGGTGGACCCAGAATAAGAATTAGCCAATGCTAACATATAGCATCTTCGTACCTCTCGAAAACACCTTCACAGGATGGTCCAAAAGTTGGCTCTTGGCCCAAAGCTCCGTTCCACATGTGTGTCAATGCTGAGGGGGGTGAATTTTTTTGGACCACTCTAGTTTAGTCGCTTTGAATTTTTGAAGAAGTCACTCGTTAAATGAATGGGGCTCGTGCTGGCTGACACATGCGCAGATGCAATTTTTCACATTTTCCAGCCCCCGCGGCCATTTTGAAACTGCCCATAGACTGCGGAAGTGGTGGCACATTAGTTAGAACGGCGGAGATAGGCGTGACTATGTCCGTTAATATTTACAGTCTATGGGTCCACTACAGTCCAGCATGGTCCAGCACGGTCCAGGACAGTCCAGCACAGTCCAGCACAGTGCAGGCCTCTTGGGACCCTCCTGAGGCCAACTCCACCAAAGTGTCTGGACTTTAAAGCAACGTCCCTATACTGAACAAAATGGATTTTTCCCCCCACCACTAGCTAACAGGTGTGATGTCCTCGTCCCAGCCTCAGAGATTGAAAAGCTTATTTTTCTAGCCACCTCTTGCGTCTTACAGTCTCACCAAAATGAACGTTCGTAGACTAGCTTCTAAATGTATACTAAATGTCAAATTGAATACAATAACTTTGGATAATGAGGAGAAAGAGGGAACATTAGAACTATAGAAAAGTAGCAAACCTTTAAGTTTGTTAATTATGAGGTGGAAAGTAGCTCCTTAATTTCCGACCTCCGCACACTTTCGAAAACACTTGATGTCATAGACCGCATTAAAACAAGGGCAGGAGAAAGTGCAGTCTTAGTCTCAACAACAAACTCATTATAATCAAACAGAGAGCGCCTTCATATTTCTCTGGTTGTGGCCCCAGTTCTCAGTCCAGGCCTGAATTAGCGGAGCACTCCAGTCTTAATGCTCACAATCATTCTCACTGTGGGGGACTGGGATGGGACAAGCACAGTCCGTCAAAGCCACAAGGAAAACATTTAAACTACTCTCGCTGTTTTCTGATACGGAAAAAGAAAGTTAAAGGAGAATGTTAATGTACTTTTTGGCTTCTCTCTGATAAATGTTGGAGAGAGTGTTACAGGGGATGTCAGCAACTTTCAAAGAAAGTGCATTTCTAACCAAATCACACTGTACAGTAAGTAATAATGTTTAATCAATAATATTTTTTAAAAAGATCCCTACTATTAGCATAACTACCACCAGTGAGATTTGCTGGAATAAAACACGAAAAAATCAAAGACAGGGATTTTCAAGAATTTTTGTCCAATCAGGAAGCTGCAGGGATGAGAATGGGCGGGTCTAACCAGTGCTTGTGTCGCAATTCAAAATAAGAGAAATAAAAAACAAAATACAACAAAACATGAAATAATTTCATAAACAAGAATTCACAACAAAGTAAAGAATACAAAAATTGGATTAAAATACGCTTTTTTTGTTTCGACCAATTCCCTTTGAGGCATGCGCCTCCTGTTCGGCGACCCCGCTCCCATCTCAGTGTGGAGTGAGAGGACAAGTGCCCAAAAAATAACAATTGTAAACCGCTTTGTGACTCTGGTCTGTGAAAGGCGGTATATAAATAAAGCTTACTTACTTACTTACTTACTTTCAAACCATGCACAGGTCTTCTTGTTTACTCTTATTATATGTATTTTCCCTGTGAGTATTTTTGTGTGTATCGGTTGGATTTTATAGGGTATTCTGGGGGACAGCAAGAACATGAGGGCACTGATGGGATATGTTAAAGGAATAAAATGGTTTCAAATTTATTTTTATTTTTTCTAACACACAGACTGTAACTGAGACAAAAAGACGCAGCAGGTGGGAGTGTCTCCCTAAGCTGCTGGTTGCCACCTGCCAAGAACTTCAAGAAGAAGGCTATAAACATCCCCAATCCAATCCACAATACAGATGTGCAAGGAATGGTAGCCTATAAACAAACATGAATGGATAGAGACATACAGGTGAAACTCAGAAAACAAGAATATCTTTGAGATTACTATTTACTTCAACCATGTGAAAGATGGTAAGACCCATTACAGTAACACACAATAGTAAGTAATGGTTATTTATATAGCTCACTTTACAGACCAAGGTCAACCCAAAGCGCTTTACAATGTTCAGAGTTAAGATGTTGTTCCATTCATTCCACACACGGTGATGACGGAAGCAAGTCGCCGAACACACTGGTGCATCAGCCCCCAATCAACACCATCCATTCACTCTCTCATTTACATTCATATCTATTGTGCATGTTTTTAGTGGTAGGGGAAACCGGAGCACCCGGAGGAAACCTACGCAGACATGCAAACTCCACTCAGAAAGGCCCTGTTCCGACCGGGATTCAAACCCAGCACCTTCTTGCTGAGAAGCGAGAGTGCTATCCACTCAGCCACCGTGCCGCCAACAAAATGGTACACAATACAAAGTGAGATATATCAAGCTTTTCTGTGCTGTTAGTGTTGAGCTCACAGCTTGTAAAAATCTCAAAAATAGAATATTTTTAGTTTAGAAAATGGACCATGAGCCATAAACATCCAAATGATAACAAACAAAGGCCATTCCTAATTTAAGTTTTTTTTACGGTAATACATTAACTTTTGAGCGACATTGTCATTTTCCGACCTTCATCTGTGCATAGAAATAAAATGTATCACTCCAGACAATGATAAGAATTTAATCAATGCCTTTTGAAGTAAAATATATTTCCTTCTTTATCTGAATCTTACCAGCAGCAGGCGAAACAAACCTGAAACTATTTACACAACGATCTCTCTCAGCTCTTGTTTGTTTATTTGCTAATTGCACACCTGCATGTTAATACTCTTTGAATAAGTACAACTGTCCTTAAAAAGCAAAGCAGCATCATCACACAAGAATTATTTTCCACATAATGAATAGATGCATTAAACACACTTGTCTGATTTAAGCACTTTTGCATATTAAAATGGCAACACAACATTCAGAGAGCAGCAGCCGCATCTTAAATGCTTATTCCAGTGGCATGGAATTTTAATCAGTTAACCACAGGTAATTATAATCCTTTTTATTTTGGTTTGAAAAGTGAGGAAATGTTGTTTCTTTGTCTCCACGGCATCAAATGTATCTGTCCATCTATGGCCCCGTTTATACGGAGACAATGCGGTAGTAAAACGCTATAGTTGGATGTCGGTTGCTACGGAGACTGTGTTCCAGGGGGGTGAAAACTTAAGTTAAGATCCAGCCTGCAGAGTGGGACAGCTCAGGCCCTGTTTATACTGAGACGCTGCGCACACGTTGCCAGGCTATTAACAGAAACGACCAGGCTCCTAATGCAAATTTCTCAGCGTTTATACGAGGATCAGAAACGATGTAGTTCTAGCGCCAGGACAGTATACTCACTTCCTGTGCCAGACTGGAAGAACGCACCAACATCATTCTGCATTTTAACAGCAGCTGTAAAAACGGAAACTGAAACTAGAGCTTCGCGTGGTCTCGTTTGGACGAACGAAGGAGTAGAATCCTCCTCTGTGCCACACTCGAAGCCCACGAAGCTAGTTAGTGCGACCGCCACCATTGTTGCTTATGTTTGTTCTCCGCTACAGCGCATGTCCAAATTTACGTGCGGGGAGCAGCGAGGAGGTGGGGGTCAGATCAGGCAGGGAATTCACCCCCCCGAATTCAGAGCCCCCGCTGTGCAGCGTATCTCACTCTGCAGGCTGTATCTGAACACTTACGTTTTCACCCCCCTGGAACACAGTCTCCGTATGAACGGTTGGTAGAAACCGACATCCAACTATACCGTTTTACTGCCACATTGTCTCTGTGTAAACGGCCCCTGAGTCAGATACGCGTCTCAGCTGGGAGTTCTTTCACACCCGCGTGAGGAAAAAATGTGTGAATTCTCTGCTGCTGATCTGACCCCCACCTCCCTGCACGTAAATTTGGACATGCGCAGTGGCGGAGAACAAACGTAAACAACAATGGCGGCTGGTAAACTAACTAGTTACGTGGGCTTCGAGCGCTACATGGAGGAGGATTCTACACCTTGGTTCGTCCAAACGAGACCACGCAAAGCTATAGTTTCAGATTCCATTTTCGCAGCTGCTGTTAAAATGCAGAATGATGTTGGTGTGTTCTTCCGCGTAGAGGAAGTGAGTATACTGCTGGGGGGACGGTGGGGCTCGCGTGTGTCGTGTTGTAAAGTTCTTCTGCCCACTACTGTCCGCTAGAACTACATCATTTTTTATCCTCGTATGAAGGCTGTGAAATTTGCATTGAGAGCCTGGTCTTTTCTGTAGCCTGGCAACGTCTGTGCAGCGCCTCCGTATAAACTGGGCCTATGAACCTATCTCTATCTATCAGAGGGCTTTATTTACCAGTTAACCTTATCACAGGGGCAAACAGATCTAACACGGCCAGCATTGTACACAGAAAGCGCACCATTTTGACCATGAGACGAATGATTATGCATAAACTTGTTGTTCTTTTATCAAATTATCTGGCTACGTTGGAGATTCAAACATAAGAAAGCTGCTTTAATGTATAAGCTGACACTTGGAAGTATAAAGTTTTGAAATCTCACCTGCAAAAGTTGCAGAAACGTATCACTGCTATTGTAGTAATACCTTTCTGCAGCCATTAAAATTCAACTTAGATGTAAAAGAAGTATGCATTTATAGACATATTTGGCTGGTGCAGGTTCTGTCCAAAAAGTAACCTCGGCTGTTTCCAAAGGTGGACTCAAATTCAAGACTTTTTAAGATAAGATAAGTGATCCTTTATCCATCCCGCAGTGGGGACGTGTTCAAAGACCAAATGTTGCTTCTTTGGGTTCATTGGTACATACATAAGTAATTGCATTAAACCAAAAAATCATAACCATTGTACTTTACGTTGCATATTTGTAACCAAGGGCACTACGAGGTTCAGATCAAAAAAAGAAAACAAAAATCCCAACTTTTTTGTAGAGTAATTTAAATGTATATTTGACAAGCCACTGGTGCCATAGCTGATCATATTTCGCAGACTGCACCTTACGACACAGCAAAAAACAATATATATGTAATTTGTATAATGTTGTATTTTAGTGCTGTAAAAAAACAAAATGAAGAGATTTCTCACAGAACAGTTTCCTTCCTCTCTCTTTGGTGGCACTTACTGAGGTCTCCCAGCTGGATGTGTCCCAGGACGTACAGGCCGCTTTTCTTGATGTCGTTGATAAAAGTGATGAGTCCCACGCTGCTGCGAGGGTTCGACACCATCAACAAAACCTGAGGCCTCCAGAACTTCACGTGGTCCTTCCTCACGTCCAGCATCAGCAGGTATTTACGCACCTGCAGAAAGAAAAGCACACGGCGTTCAAAACCCGAGGACGTGGAGGGTAATTACGATGTCTTCAGGTGCATACTTAAATTATGACAGCTGTGCGTGAGCCACAAGCTGGTGGTAAACATTTATGGTTGGTTTTACATTTCCCCAGTTCACAGGAATGAAAGAGGACATCAAATAGAAAGTTTTGAATTGTAACATTGGATACGTACATGAGACACTGAGGTCCACTGTAGACCACAGAAGAAATGACGTGAATGCAGACAGTGAAGGCAGAAAAGAGGAGAACATATTCACTGCAAAGAATTATAAAATATGAGGTAATCCTTTCTTGAATCGAATCGTCTGCGTATAAACATGATTTTTCAAAGGGACAAAGCCATGCAGTCTTATTTTCTCATTTCAAGAGAAACTGTTTTTTTATATAATTTTTATAACAAGATCATGTTGCTTGCAATCTTGTTTTAAGGCAGTCAAAATGTGATGAAATTAAGTGACATTTTGCCAAATTTTACACATTTTGGACTTATTTTTAATCACTTTTTGCTGTTATTAGGGTAATAATGACATATCAACTATTTTATCTATAACAATTACTTTTAGACATTTATAGATAAGCTAAAAAAATTACTTTAGTTTTACACTGCAATAGTAATCTTGCACTTTTTGAATTTAATTTATCTTCTTTAATGGTGTTTTTCTTTTTTGTTGTGTTGTCCGACGCATTCAACACAGCAACACAATAACTAAGTATGTGATAAAACCACCATCCAACACATTCCAAGATCTCAGTACAGTTTGACTTTATCTCTAGTTTCCATGTTTATGTATTTTTTGGCCTTTGTCTCATTTTTGAATAAGCTTTTTCAGACAGAAAAGAAAAAAATAGGACCCCCCACAGTCAGCCAATCAGCTCTCAACATAAAGCATCAATTAGTGAATCATAGAACTCTTTCTTTCTTACAAGTACGCTGGCTTGTGGTCTGATTTGTTCATACAATTTTCCTCACTACAACCCTCTTTCAAACACCATGAATTATTTATGGAGTTAAGGTTAGGTTTGTTACCCCACCTTTAAGTGCACTACAGACCTCAGGCGCTTTCTGGCAGCACCTACGAAAAGCAGTTTCTAAAGTAGCTTCTTCCAAAATAGTGACTTTAAAATAACTTTTACATGTTCTTCCGTTGGAGAGCTTCTTTATTACAGTTGCGGGGAATAAATTACCTACTTTTTATGTTAATAGCCTCATAAATTGAGACGCAATCATCACTATTTAGTAATAAGACGTCGGGGATGTTGTTTGTCTACGTCCGAGCGCTCATAAATCAGGAGCATTTTTATAGCACAGGGATCTAATCTTCAAAACGGTGCTTTTGGCCTGTAATTTCAGTAATAGAAAACTAAACGAAACAAGGCCCCAGAGCAAATCCCAGTCCTTTTTAGAGGTCTCATTCTTCCTGTTTATCTTGAATTTGCCTTTTTCTCATCCATCAGTGCATCATGATTTGACGGCCTCCTCGGTGCCATCCATCAAGCCTCCATCGCTCATCGAAAGCCGTGGATATTCGGTTTCACCCTCGATACCATCTTCTCCTTTGTTTTCCTCTCGTAAACACAGTTGTCAGCCGCGGCGTTACTTTTCCGCGGACCTTCCCTTTTGCTCAATGTCACCCAGTTGGCAGGCGGCCATCTTGGAAAGTCTTGCATAAAAGATGATGGGATGTACATGATATTAACGCGGCTGGACTCTACAAGGACTGCTTTACTTTACTGACGTTTTATTGTGTTTGATGATGCAGCAATGTCTGTTTGGGGGATTATTCCAGTGACACAGTTAAAAGCCATGTACTAAATTATCATAATATCATAATTTTGTAACAGTCCAGAATAATTTCAAAGTTCCTCGTGCACTCTTGACATGACATGACAAACACAATAATGCATCCATGCAAAGGTTTTTCACAGGACATTTTTCAAACGTCAATCCGCCAATTGTGAATCTCTGAGTCAAGTTTTGCGGCCCTCTGCTATACTAACACAAAGAAGCCATTGGAGTCATAAACACAAGTTCACAGTGTCGTCCAGCCAACTTCATTTTCACCAATATGTGCAGGCTGTACCTCGTGGAAAAACTCAGAACCCCTGGAATCCGGTCGTTGTCTTTATTTGTAAATGCTACTTTTGATTGGGTCACTACTACTGTCGCTGGTGAGATACACATTTGTCTTCAGCCAACTTGAGCTCCGTCAAATGTGAATCAACAAGGACATGGTAGTTTTTTACGATCCGTGTTGCAGGCCCCTGGAAAATGTTGGCAAGCTGAAGTATACACAGCGGTGAAATAACCAGTACCCATAGCCACAACTGCCCTGTGACCCTAACCATAGCCCTAACCCCTGAGGAAGAAGTGTCCACAGACTTATACTAATGAGGGTGAAATGTCTTGTGGCGACAGTTTAACTCTTTACTGCCTCAGACCTCCCACATACTTTGCTATAAATGGAATTAAAAAAATCGAGTAGTGGAAAAATGGTATTAACTAAACAGCCACAACATCACTGGTGGAATCTACTGGTGGCTATGGGAATTATAATCCAATGCAAGCCATAACATGAGTTTGGAAATGGTTTTGAGTATGCCTAAACAAACAGTGGTGATGATCCAGGACTGAACTGTTTGATTCTCTGATCTGTGTTGGCAAATTCAACGGTTGTGTAAAGTCCTCCAAGATAACTACTGTTGTGATTTAGGGCTATACAAGAACACATTGAGTTGAATTGAATCGAATCTCAAAAGCCTCACAACAGAAAATGTTCCGACACTCCAAGTCAGATTCTTATCTTCTTTGAATCCATCACATGCAACAAAGGGAGTGATAAATACAGTACTAGATATTGTCGATTGCCGATGTGTACAGATGGTAGAAACGACACTGGACATACAGTATTACAGAGGCTGCTTGAAAACATTCTTGCAGGCAGTGGAAGAAGAAAAGAGCGCGTGGAGGCGGATGGAAAGTCCAATAAGTTAAGTGGTTGTAATAATGTTCTCCCTGGTGACAAGCTGCTGGCGAGGCCCCCGCTCTGCTCTCCCGGCCCACCGCCTCAGACTGCAGCCACTTGGCAAACACCACCTCTTGGCAACGCACACTTCTCCTTGAGCGCAACAGGCTCAGCAGCTAGAGGACACAGGAGTGATGTAAAGCCGTACCAGGAAGCAGGCCTCCCACTATATGCAGCTATACACAGGAGAATGCGGTCGTAAACGTGCTTTATTTGGGGTGAATGTTATTGTGAGGAAAATATATCTTCATACTACCTGTCCTGGTTCTTTTTCAGACTTGATACGCAAAGACAAATTCTCAGAGTATGCACTTTAAAGGCCCTGTCCATTCTCTCTATGTGTTTCTCCCCTGGGCAGATATGTTGAAAAGGATACTCTTGATTATACAGTATAAGAGCAAGTCAAGTACGTAAGTAAGTAAACTTTATCTATGTAGCACATTTTTACAGACCAAGATCACCCAAAGAGTTCAGATATTGTTCCAATCTCTCCACGCGGTGATGACGAAAGTGAGACGCCGAACACACTGGACCAACAACGTCCCAACACTATCCATTCTCTCACTCATTACATTCATACCTATATTACATGTATTTAGTGGTAGGGGAAACTGGAGCAACCGGAGGAAACCTACGCAGACACGGGGAGAATATGCAAACTCCACCAGAAAGGCCCTGTTCCGACCAGGATTTGAACCCAGGACCTTCTTGCTGAGAAGCGAGGGTGTTATCTACTATCTAGTCTCGCTTTTCATGAGGTAAATTCTTCAACTGTCCTGGAGGTGTGCTTGCTTTTTACTCTTGTTCATCTAAACGTGGTTGTTTTGCCTCTATAGTTATACAGTTGATCATTAAAGTTGCCTTTTACATTGGAAACAAGCGTATCACTTTACTCTGCAAAGTTATATATGTGGTGTTGCATATTTCAGAAAAGCAGCACACGTCGTCATCCATGTATCAACATCTATGAAAATATTAAGTGTTCTATACTAATCGTTTGGTGTTTGCATAAAAAGCCTTTGTATAATGTTTAGCCTGAGTCTAGTGAATTCAGGGAATATTCAAAAAGACAAGGCTGGTTTCTGTGATAAAGCCTCTTTTTAAGAACAGATCGAGCATGCCTCCCTTTTGCGGGACAAGGAATGAGACCTAAAACCAGACCAGACCAGACTCACGGGACTGGAAAGGATGCAGAGGGCGTATTCGCAGGCACTTCCTATTCTTCTAGACATTTTCATAAAACTGTGGGTAGGACATTTTGAGAGTGAGTCTGAGCAGGGACAGAGAGAGAAAGGACTTCTCAGAGCGCCTGGTTGTCCTCTCTCATTTTCAGGCCTGGAGGGATAGTGCAACTGGCTCAGCTCATAGAGCTAGTTAGGGAAATAAGAGCTTGGATAATGTTGTATTAATATTTCATTGTAAAGAGAATTAAATGTTGATTGATTTTGAACTCTTGAATGCTTGGTCTTATTTCTGAAAATCAAATTCTGAGACACGTCCGTCATTTTTTGACAATAGTGGAGATGTGAGTTTCCTGTTCAGTTTTATGTACCTTCCTCAATTATCCTAGACTGGGTGTCAGGGTCCTACCACTTTTTACGCCATATTAATACTGCCTCGTGCCGGTATTAAAGTTTATTGCATGTGTATTCAGGACACGTGCAGGACTTCTATTGCACTCGTGAATTGTGAGAAAACAGTTTATACTTTACTAAACGTGGATGAAAGCGACGAGAAGTTAGAGTCTCAGGAGAAGACAGAGGTGAGACAGCCGTGTGAGTGTCTGAGAGCTTCGACACACTGATCCAAAGCAAAGCAGCAGCAGCACAGACCGATTCATCCACACTCTCTTCACGTGATCGGCTGTTTTAGTAAGTAAGCCATGTTTATTTATATAGCGCCTTTCACAGACAGGAGTCACAAAGCACTGTACGATTGTGGA